AAAGAACGTATTGCTGATAAAAGCGAACAGGCAAGTTCCAGGAAGCAGTTGAGAAGTAGAAGATGCGATCGCTGGAACGAAATGTTTATTCGTCTGACGTTTGAACCCACCATCAGAGATAACCGCAGAACAGGGTGATAAATGCACAGATTACGCAATATTCATAGTCTGTAGCGGCCACGCGACCGCATCCGCACCACGATTAGCAGCTTCCATGATCATCGCTCGTGATCTTGATTAATAAGATGATAGCTTGACTGTCCGCTTCTGAGTCATTAATTGCCTCGATTCCATCAACCGTGTTGGAGGTTAGTGTGACAGTTACTCGGTCATTTTGCTCGCGGTCATCGAAATTGTGGCTGAGCCGCGCCCTCTGCCTGTGATTGATTCTCCTGCTCAGAAAAACTCTCAGTACGGAATATGGGAACGGTAAGTCGTTGCGCTTATTGATTGACTGCAGGCCTGAGAACCATGGCTCGAACGGCTCACAGCTCACGCAGTTGTCACCCCTTGCGAGGATTTCGGCCGTGGTAAATTTGAAAATATGTTCAGGTCCCGCTGAGTGAGCTGCAACCTGGGAGTTCACGCCTTTTCTTCTCACCGCTGCCGCCTGCTCGGCCATTCGCGTCCGGAGTAATCTCCCGGTTTCTCGGGTGTAGTTGCTTTGTTCACAACTCCAGCCGTGTCCTGGCGACCCACCAACAATTTCGAGGACAGCGAACCTAATTGTCGCGTTAATGTCAGGCCAACATCCAACTTGAAGGATGAAATCGCGGCCATTAATGATGAATGCCAAGCTATCATCACATCAATCATGATCCTGTGCAATGGTCACGGAAACTGTTAATTGTGGTGCGCATGCGGTCGTGTGGCCGCTACAGACTATAAATACTGCGTAAACTGTGCAATTATCACCCCATATTCTGCGGTTATCTCTGATGATGGGTTCAAGCCAGAATCCGAAAGGTCAGGCAACTAAAATTCTTGTTCCAGTGATTGGATCTTCTACTTCTGAACGCTTGTGAATCTCGGTTGAGATTGTAAAACTGATGTACCAGGAGGGAGTCTGAGATTCAACCTGTGTGAGAGACGCCGTAATGGCCGCATCAGTAAGGCACCGTTGCAGCCCTATCATCGGTCCTAAAAAAGACCGCGTTACTATACGAAATGGCGACCTTCGAAACATCGACTTAAAGCGCGTCGTGATGCTTAAGTAAGTGAGATTCAGTATGTTATATAATGCGCTGATTTGCCGTGAGTATGGATTCTCTTTCTCTCTCCCCCAGCAACGGCGTCACCCTTTCTTCCTCTCGCCTTCATACATACCCATGTTTCCCCCCGACTCACTCTGACAGGAAATGAGGTTCGACAGTAGCTAAGTCGTCCATCTACCCGTACAACTCACTAACCGGTTTCCACTTCATGCAGCAGACACCCATAAAAGGGCATGCCTTCTAAGTTATTTGACCTGCGTACATTTAATACATGAACATTTATCTCGCCGCGTGTAAGCGATAGTTTGCCCACGATAATTATCTATGACCGTCTTCACCAGAGCTGCCTCGTCGTTTGGGTGATGAATACAGGACCAAGGGCAAGCACTTGAAGACGATAACAAGACAAAGTTCCGAATG